AATTCGGATATGGGCTATTAACGGCGATAAATTTGCACCAATACGTACCTTTTGTTTTTCTTTCTCTAAGAGGGAATTCCCTTCTTTTCACAGATGTGACGGCTATAAGAACATTAAAACCGTGCTTGATTTGCCCAAATGAAAATATTATTGATCTTTGATAATAATCTGTTAATTAGATCATTAGATGCTAATTAACGAAGTAATTGCCAATTAACTTACTATATAAATAACTAATTAGTCTGATTATTATTCAAAGGTTTTACTAGTTTCACGATGAAAATGAATCATCATCTTTAGGGTAAGTAATAATTAGTTTCAGTTTCGTCGTAGCCGTATTTTAGAAATGGTACAAACGGAAGGTTTCTCCTGGGCGGGGTACGGCTACGAGTGGGCTGGAAGAAAAGAGGTGTGGGTTATCACACACTTTCTCGATTATAGGTTCCATACGGCCACAAATTCGTCTATTCCTCGTTCATTGATTTTCGCCAATTCAGTGCCTTAAAAAGGCACTGAACTGTCGAAACGGTAACCTGTAGGAAGAAAATCGGGAGGCGTACCTCAGAAAAGAACATAGTTAAAGCCCCCATATGTGACTTTAATTCCTTGAATCTAAAGATCAGATATTTTATGATTTTCAAGCATACAATGATCAGGCAACTAACGCAGACATATCTTTTAAAATAAAAAAGATTTTCACGGTATGAAGTACTCTTGAATATCTAGATTTTTTATGCAAAATAACTTTGAGGTGTATGTAAAATTATCTATAGATCCTTCTTGTTGGCGTATTTCAGATGGTGAATCTCCTCTGCCTTTTTCTGGTCAGCAGTTCGTTTACATGGGATTGCGCGTGCGTTGTGTAGTCAACCGTGTAAGCCCTTTTTCTTTGTCTATCCCGCAGGTCTAACCCAGTACTTTTCGGTTTGAACTCCTCGTGCTTCTGATACCGGTTAAACTTTTCAAAGATGATTGGTAAGAAGGGTGTGATGAGTAGAGCTCCAGACACTGAACAGACACCACCCGTTATCTTGCCTCCTGTTAGAAAACATCAAAGAATTGTTAGCATTGTCTGTCTGTGTACCAATCCGTCAATGTAATAGAGTCAGGGCTAGGTGTGTTTATTAATTACAAAGCCAATTTAATTGCCTGTGATAGTGAAGTTGTCATGGTGAAAATGAGCAAGTGTCCTTAACATGGCTCGATGTGTAAAAGAGACACTTCGTCTCCCTCAGCCTTTTACCCTTATCTCCCAACGATATCAATACATTTAGAAAACGGGTTATAAAAAAAGGTCTTTGTTTGATAAGGCGCCATGTATTCTTGCTAATTCGAAGGGAAAGTAGGGAATATTTGGATACTTAATGAGATAATCGTCCCGTAATTTAAAAGTATTGTTCGGGTGTAAAATGATAGTTTCAAAGATAAAGTCAATCAGGCACGAGGAAACTAATCACAAACAGCAAAAGTAATTAGTTTGTGGTTTAGGGGTTTGAGCGCATGCGTTGCACTTAATCAAGATCGGCCAGTACACATTTGACCTGCCAGATTCAAACCAAAGTATTCGCGGTTTTCTAAGTCTCACTGTGATAGGAAAGCAACTAAAACGGCGGAAGAACATTTAGAAGACAACGCTACAAAAATTTAGAAACAGACCCGTGAGTGACATTTCATGCTTACCAAGTGTTTTAGGATCCATGTCCCCATAACCGAGCGTTGTTATGGTAACCATAGCCCACCAGCAGCTCAACGGGATACTCTCAAACTTAGTCCCCTCGTGCCACTGTTCACAATAGTAAGCTATGCTCCCAAAGAGTACAGTTCCAATTAAGTTTAGAAATAACATTGTCCAGAGGTCGCCAATACTGTCCTTGACAGTCTTTCCCAGTACTTTCATGGTAGTAACATATCGAGATATTTTTAATACTCTAAAAACTCTTGATAAACGGAGAATACGCAAAATGTACAATGATAGGCGAATAGATCCAAAGGAAATAAAAAACGAGATGAAGAATGGAACAATGGCTATTAAGTCGATGACGTTCAAAGCTTGAAAGAAAAACCTTCTTTTTTCTGGAGAAACGGAAAATCGTACAATGAGTTCCAAAGTAAACCATGAAATACAAGAAGTCTCCAAGATATGAACGATCTGGATTTTTTGTGTTTTTGTGGAGTGGTAATGATAACTCGAGTGCTTTGATGTGTTTGATGCAGCATTCGATGCCAGGGTCACAGGTTTGTTGTTCGGGAAGGCAGGGAGAGTATCAACACATAGGAATATAGCTGAACAGAGAATGACGAGTAAAGAGAACAGGTTAACCAACCTAGCAACTGCGTTTGAATCAGGAATTTCACAGATCTTCCATACTTCTTTTTGACACTTTCTGAAAGGAATAACTTGTCTTTTGGTCAAAGCACTTGGCAAGGCTAATTTTGTCGTTTTGATATCTTCATTAATGTACTCGTATAACCCAAAGAAGTGAAGCTCATCTGCCAGAAGCTGTTCCGGGAAGTTTTCGTCGGGAAACATCAATTGTCCCTTTGACACGTAGAAATGGAACACAGTTTCGAACGCTGTTCGATTCCTGTCGAAGAACAGTTCGTCACGTATAGAGTCGTAGAAAAAAGCTCGTTTTCTTCGATGCGCCAGTAGACTGTTGGGAAATAGAGATAACAACCTTCCAGTGAAGAAGTATTTCTTTCCACTGACGTTCACTGTAATTCCATCATTTCGATCACTCACTTTCCTCTTTTTGCTTCGGTATGGTTGAATGATCGAGTGTTTTGAAGGCTCTCCAAAGCGATTAAGTATTTGGGGCTGCGTCAAGCTGATTGCTCTCCGTCCCCTTCTTTTCGGCGCTGTCTTGGGTAATCCTTGTCCGTATAAATGAAGCATGTTGTTGTTTTGATGAGAAAAGGCAGACGTGACACAGGTGTTCTGAGTTCGGTAAGACTGATCGGCTTGTATCTTACAATGTTGTTATTTAAGCGGTCATTTTAACAGAGCTGCTGATTTCTAGAATAATTAGTCACGCGACGCAGATGATTGATTTTTTTTTTGGCATGATATATGAATAGATTAAGGCTCAAGAATGACCGGTTTTTGTAAAGCTTGCACCGAGAAAAATTCTTACCTGACTCTAATAATGTATGATGCGTACTTCAATGGTAATCGATAGGGGAGTCAGTGTTGAGTCTACACTCCTTTCACGAGGTTTTTTCAACATAAAGCGGTAGTGAGCTCTTAAGATCCTAAGTGATCGTAAACAACATAATTGAAATATCCTACTGTTAGAATAATTTTATGGGGATACAAATGTCTAAAGTGTTATGCGATCATCGCTGAGCAAGAATATCCCTTTCTGGGGTAACTCGATTACTCAACAGGTCCAATGAAGATCACTAACCTTTGCAGGAATAGAAAATGTTTCGGACTCATTACTACTGAGATCGTACTTAATTAACTTCTTAGTCATCACCGACGTCACAAAGTATTTCCATAGAATTGTTATCTTCTTTATGTATAAATAACCTTTAACCTTTTCGTTTTATATCAAGCTGTTCGGTCTGTTGCCTAATGTAGCACGTTCAAAGAGGACAACTAATAATATTTGATTCAAGATCAAGATTTTAAGTCTGCGTTCAAATAACTTGCATCCCCTGCCCTGGAAAATCAGGAATTTGGATCGCAAGTAACTAAAACATGGAAATGTGTTTGAAGGAGAGCAATGCACCGATGTTTGATCTCCTGATGTCTAGTAGTGATAAACTGACGAAGTTTAGGAACGGAATGTTTCATTAGAGCTCACATTCACTGAAATTGCCTCCTAAATTTATCAGTGTTTTGACGTCAATTGACAGTAATAATCCACATTTTTATTGCATGGTAGATTCTAGAACTCTTGATCATATCAGTATCAATGCAATCATATGTATAACACGTGTTTTGCAAAAGGAGTCGTGCTCGTACTAAATCAATTTTGGGTTGACCCGGTCGAAATTCTGTGGAAAGTTTCTGCTCGATGACTCCAAGTACCTGTAGAGTGGATGAGATCCGAAAATCTGACGAAACCGTAGTGTACTTTACTTTTCTAATCAGCAAATAAACGAGAAAAAGTACTTTAATGTGAAGTAAGTGATGCAGAGGACCACACAAAAGAGTTTCGAATACCTCGCGAGATTACGCAAGACCTCGCGAGAAAGACACTCCATACTGTCCCAAATAAAGGCGGTGAAACTGTTCAATTTCTTTTTTCTAATCAGCAAATAAGTAAGAAAATGTACTTCAGTGTGAGTTAAGTGATACATAGGACCACACAAGAGTCTCGAATACCTGGCGAGATCACGCAAGACCTCGCGAGACAGACACTCTGTACTGTCCCAAATAAAGGCGGTGAAACTGTTCAATTTATTTTTTCTAATCAGCAAATAAGTGGGAAAATGTACTTCAGTGTGAGTCAAGTGATACAGAGGACCACACAAGAGAGTCTCGAATACCTCGCGAGATCACGCAAGACCTCGCGAGACATACACTCCATACTGTCCCAAGTAGAGGCGACCAGACTGTTAATTTTTTTTTCTCTGATTTAAGAATTTGAAATGTTCACAATCATAAGTGAGATTTGCAGATAGTTCTATTTTAATATAATTTACAATCATCAAATCGTAAAATGTGTTTCCTTTTTGGACTGCTTTTGCATTTCTCAGTGGATTTGAAGACGAAAGCGGATAAAAATTTAAAGGATCTAATGCAGTGTTTGCTGTTCCTCTTGAAAAACATAAAAACCTGTGAAACACCTAAAAATGTTCAAAATCAATTTTGGCTCTTTCGTCTCATGCCCAGAAATAGTCCATTTTCCCACTAATTTATGCTATTTTTATTTGTTAGAGTTTCATAGCGCTCTCCATTAGTGTGGCATACGAGGTTGACATAATGAGGCACCTGTCATACGTCATTTAGTCGGTGATGCCACATAAAGCAGGTATCCTTCTAACCAGTTAAACCTGAGAACGGAATTTCATTCTGTGGATCTAAATGAAAGAGTGCTCCTTTTACATGCTGCGCTTAAATCCTCAGCAAAGTTTGCAATGAAGGAAAATTCAGTCATTTTGAGCGTAACTGTCTTTGGTCTCATTGTGGCCACACTTGGCGATCAAGGTATCTTACATGAAATGTCCATTGTGAGGGTATTAACCTATTGAGGATAAAACTTAGGCCTGTTAGTGATAACTGATATGATTTGACAGTCATTTATTAAATTTGTTTCTCTGGTGTTGAGGAAGTACCTTCTGCACACGTTCACGGTCGTAAACATTGTTATAATTGTTAAAAATATTTTTCAGTGTGTTATAAATGTTAGAACTGATGAATATTTAGCGGTTGGCGGTATGTTCTAGGTTCCCCTTTTTCAATTAATGGATTGGAAATGTTCAGAACTCTAGAAAAAAAAAATAGAAACCTTTTCCCTTCTGGACAAGTTTTGACATCGCATGCGACATTCGAATTTAAAAAGTTTTTAGTGTTATACTCTGAACATAGATTTACACTTCATGAAGCTTCGGCTATTGCGCCCTTTTTAAACAACGTAGGTCACATAATAATTTCCATTGAACGTAATTAAAGTGTTAACTTTTGGAAACATCATAAAACTTCTAACGTTTCAGCAGGTTCTTTTTTGTCGAAACCCTAATTCGTAACTGCTTGTCATATATAACGACGGCTATTGCGTTTTCAGTTTGTGACCTACGTTTTTTCCGCCAAAATAACTTAGAGTTCGCGCGCGCCCACTGTTCGTATATTAGAAAATCTCGACCTCGGCAAAAAAATGGAAAGTATTGTTTAGCCAGGCGGAATAACAACGAAAGGAAACTATCTTTAAAAAGGTGCAGATTGTTCGCTCAGGAAAGGCAACAAGAATGAAAAGAGGCTGCGACAAATCTTGTTTGTAAACTACTGCAAGAACCAGCGTCCGTCGACTCCAGTAAACATCTCTCTCAACTTGGTTGTTTCTAATCTTGATGAAGTGGTAAGTAAAACCGACTGGGATTTAGCCGTAAAAACATCAGTTAAGTTCAATTTTTTTCAATATGTCTCCAAATTACGTCCTTTTGACTCATTGGTTCGGCTTTAAAGCATTAATAACTAATACTAGTCACATCCAAAATTAAAACGTTTTATTGTAATGTTCGGGAAATTGTGAAAGAAATTCCCTTGTATAAATGCATTAACATTAAATTCATTGCTCTCTTTGCCTAGTTTTTCAATACTGAATTTCAGTCTCCTCAGGAATAGCTTTTATTCAGGATTTGCAAATGTTGCTAAAGTTGTCTTGGGATCAATTTGAATAATTTACCAAGTGAGACTAATGTATATTGCCGCTATATATTTTGAATTAAGGATCCGAAGAAGGAGGAAATCGGTTTAACAATTTGGCTTCGAGTGGTGAGTATGTCTTTGGTAATAGTGTAATAATAAGATACTTAATAACAAGCGAGGAATTCAAACTTAAACTGTTTGTTTGAGGGTCCTCAGTCGAAAACAACTCCAAAGGATCCCACAATTTGCTGTCATTCGATCTGATTTCGTTGTGATTGTGAAGTGAAAGTCATGTAGTACTTTTTTATTTTTCCTTCCTGACACACTGCCTACACAATGAATAAATGAATGAGACAGTTTTAAATGATCATTTCGTTATCAACGTATGTCATATTCCTTTTCAATTATTTTTTCCGCTGTCGTCCTTCAACATAACAGAATTTTGTTTTGCTCTTCAAGACAACATGATTGGCTGGAATTACAAATGACTGAGATCGAAAAAATTCTTCCTAATGTCTTCTTTCATTTCCAATCTAACTTTAGTTCTGGATGGACGACCGCTTACGATGGAACGCATCACAACACAATATCACATCTCTTACCTTAGATTTTGAGGAGGTCTGGACCCCAGACATGGTTCTTTATAATGCGTGAGTACAGTTCATAGGAAATCACGGGATTTGCTCTGAGCAATGGGTTGAATCTTTCTGTCCTTATCCTTCCATATTTTGTTTTTTTAGAGTTGGTGCCGTCAGAGACTTTGGTTTATCAAGCGATGACGGTCTTCCCATGAGCCTTATCGTTTCCAGCAGCGGTGATATCTTCTTCTCTCAGCCAACGATCATCCGTAGCGCATGCGCGTCAAATATTGCCGACTTTCCTTTTGATGATCAGACTTGCCAATTGACATTTGGTTCATGGACTATGGACTCCAGCCTTCTGAGGCTGGACTTGCGCGGTGGAGGATTCGACATGACGCACTTTGTAAAAAACAGCAAATGGGAAGTGCTTCAAATATCTCCTGAAGTACGCATGCAGCAATACCTTTTTCAAGAAAATGATTTTTCGCTCGTGGTGTATACCATAATGGTCAGGCGAAAATCACTGTTCTATGTTGTCAACTACCTCATTCCGTCAGTAGTTATTTTGGTTTTATCTTTGTTACTGTTTCTAATCCCACCTGAAGTTGGAAAGCGAATGGGTGAGAATTGTTTTCGTTTTAATAGACTTTGTTTCAATAGACCTTGAATCAAGTTAAGGGTGTTATGTTATTGAATTGCGAAAGAAGGGAAATATTTTCCATCCCCTCCAATAAACGTCAGAAGAATAACACGCAAACAAACGAGTGATTGAAGATAAGCAAAGAAAAACCAACGATGCATTCGCAGATATTACTTGGAGATCGAGGTCAGGGGTAACTCCAAACAGAATAGTGACCCAATATAATATTCACTACAGAGAACCCTCTATAAAGCACTTTCCAGCGAGGAGCTAAAGACTCTTTCACAAAATACTAGCCAGCTTGATCATTTGTACAGAGGAAGGGACTGGATCCCGGTTGAGAATTATTTAATTATTTGTCCTGTACTAATAGCTTTGTTGAGTGTCATTTTATTAGCTTTATTATAAATATTACTATATTTGTTGACATTGTTATTTCAGAAGCCGGTATAAACCTTCTTCTGTGCTTATCTGTGTATCTCCTGCTGTTAAACTCAAAGATGCCAAACACTTCAACAGCTTTCCCTCTTTTGACAAAGTTCTACGGCTGCGCAATAATAATCCTTGTGTTGGCCATGTGTACAACATGTTTAGTGTATGCTGTTTATTTCATGAACTCGTCCGGTATAGAGTTGCACCATGCTTCCCTGTTTATTCGTTTTAAGGTACGAAAAACCGATAACGTCTGGAACAACTTGGGTACTCTCAAGGACAATCCACAATCGTTGACAAAACTGTTCAATCTCGTTCCCAGGGCTTTTCCCTTTTTGAATATTTTGGCGGGCGGGAAAATTTCCCGCCCGCCAAAATATTCAAAAAGGGAAAAGCCCTGGGAACGAGATTGAAAACTGTTGAGGCAGCTATGCCGAATGTACGCCTATTTTCAACCCAAGCTCATTTATCTTACCTATCCTGCCAACTTTCCCCATTTCAATGTTAATGCCTTATTTTCCCTACCTCCTTAATGTCAGGTAATAACGCTTTTAGAAGCAAAGCTTTCACAAGTAAATAAATCGTCTCAACAGTTTTTGCTCGTGATTATTGGTGGTTGAGAAAATTGTTTCCCTTCCCCCCCGGCTCAGATTATCCAGAGTTCAAGAGAACAAAATCGGTCATAGCGGTAAAGAGGATCTTTGAGTATTTAAGAAAATTAAAAGAAAATTACCTTCCAAATTAAAGTAAAACCAAGGGCATGGAAATCCATTTTGGTAACTGTAACAATCAAATCTAATTTTATCTTTCTTAGAACTTCATATTACAACGGCTACAACCAGTACTCTTTACAAGTCCTTGTAGACGCGTAAAACGCTCTCGAGCTCGTGCACGATCAAAGGTTCATCCTTTACAAACAGGTATGTAAATTCGACAAGCACGTTCCCAAAGCTTATTAAGAAATTCATCTTTATTCCAATCCGAAGAAAGGTTACAACAGCGACTAAAGAACGAACAACGAAACTGCGAGGGTAATAGTTAGATGATGCGATAGGAGAGCACCTGTAATTCCCTAGAGAGTGTTACATGATCTTATCCAATGAATCACATTACATGATTATTATTTCTCCAACAAAGCTCATATTTTCCACGAACAGATATATGAAAGAATTTAAATTTTCCACATATCGCCTACAGAGGATGCTATTTATTGAAAGCACACGAACAACGGAACACATACAAGCAAGTATATTTCATCATCAGTTATTTCATACAAGGGGGCAATTTCGTTTTAATTTCTCCCATCCGTAGATTTGAATTTGAAGCCAGATGTACATGTGGATACCAGAAAGGACAAAACTCATGAGGAATGTCACAAAGATGATGGACAAGCCCATTCAATCCAAGACCCACCCCTGATCATTACTAGTGACAGTCATGGCACACTCCCCCGGATTTCTGCAGCAGGTCAGGTAGACCAGGGAGGTCACCTTAAACTGGTGTCAGTTGGTTCATCTTTCGAATACAGCAGTAGCATTTCGAGTGTTTCCTCTGTCAGATCGGACGAGAATGTCAAAGCTGTTATGGCCACCTATAATGAGTCAATTGAAGCTGAATTTGTAAGAGGTGAAAGCCTAACCGAAGATTGCAAAAAGGTTTCTTTTACTTGCGAGAAAAGCGAGTCAAGAAAAGTTGTCAAACGAAGAGCAACCAAAATACAAGACGGTGAGTCAGCGGTAAAACGTACCGAGCACACTCTGATTTGTTCAGCGGGATCATCTTGGTTCACTCAGGTATCGTGGGATGAGTCATTGGATGACAATGCCAACGATAGCGAGAACATTTCAGGACGTCTACAAGAAGAGGTAGATCAGTTAAGAGGGTTTAACAGCGGATCAGATACCAAAGATTCAGATGCAGGTGAGACAAAGCGCTATAGACTGGCGTTGTAGATTTTTGTTTCAGGGAATGATTTATATTGTTTATAGTCATACAACCCTTAAGTTGAAAGGAAGACCATTGGGTAGTTCGGCGTCGGAGTGGTGTGTCAGTCAATAGGTCCGCAATCTGTCACTCGGTCGGTTGCTCAGCTAGTCAGTCACAGAGTCAGTTAATCAATCATTCAGTCGGTCAGTCAGACAGTCATTCAGTCAGCCAGTCAGCCAGGAAGACAATCAGTCAGTCAGCCGGTCAGTTAGTAAATTGGTTAGCCAACCAGCCCACTAATAGCCAGCCAGTCTAGCAAAAAGTCAGTTAGTAGGGCAGTAAATCACTTTCTACTTACATGTAATATATGACTCGCCAGTCACCCTGGATTTTCATATTTTTGTTTTAGATGACATAACCACTGCTATTGATGGTTTGGATTCTATTTCGGAGTGTTTTGAAAGAGAAAGCACGCAGAGGGCAAATACAGAAGAGTGGAAAAGAGCTGCCATGGTTTTAGACAGAGTATTTTTAATTGTTTTGTTTACGGCTATTGTGGTTTCGTTCATAACGTGTCTATTGTTGGCTGCGAGAGTCAGGAAGAATTTCATTTCGTAACTTTTGACAATCATGAAATACTGCATGTTTCATATTGCACCTTACCTATTTGCTTGCCAAATCCCTATCCCGGGTATGGATCACCAATAATGCGAAAGTGGCCTTTATATCCAAGAAATGTATCATAAGAGATATCTTAGTTATTCCAGGTTCTTTTGGGAAAAAGTTTGAGGAATTTATTTCCGTGATCGCTCGACGACTGAACACCCATCTTTCGATCCTACTGGGAAGGGAAAGCACTACACATTCTCTGGAGTGGTTATAATAGTTGGTTATAACACGAGATTTTTTTGAATTGGCGAGTCTATTTTAGGAGAACCATAGCCTTCTACAATCCTAACGTTACGTTCTCAATCTTAAACTTTGAATCGTTTACCTTGCACAGGATACCTTGTCGTTAAACTGAAACTCTGCTAGACTGATTGATGTACCGCCGACAAATGAATAAATAAACTTACAGTGGATAAAGTAGGAGAAAACACCATTAACTCTGAACTGGACAGAAATAAAATATGGCTGTCACTGATGAAAAGGTAGCCAATAGTACATTTACGTTACACTTCGGCATCTCTGATCTAAGGTTGTGGCAAACGTAACAGACGGCGTTGCTGTCTAACCGCTGCATAGTGTCATGATCTGTTGTTCACATTGTATCAATTTCTAAACGAGATCAACTCAAACTATAAGTGTTTAAGATAAGTGTTAAAGGATGTTTCGTGATAAATTAACATGGAGAACCAGCAAGCACACAGGAAAGTTGTTATTTTTGGTTACCATATCAACCTATTTAGAAGTTTGTAAACGCTTTGGCAATGAATGATATCAAATTAGAGTATTGTTTTCAATAAAACTACTAATTGTCTTATTTGTTATGATGATCATTTTAAGTCGTTCCCATTTCATCGTCGCTCTAAACCCCGTCCTGTCTCACACACTTTGGCTCTCGTTGCGTTTTGCCCTCTACGACGTTCAAAAGCAGCTGGTCTTGCATCTGCCTTGCATCACAGGAAGGTTAAAAAAGCTGGATAACGGCTGGTTTGTGTAGAGGTACTGTGGGGAATCTAATTGCCGGCCCCAATTCCCTGTGACACTGAAGACTCGCGTTGTAGAATTAAACGTTTTTAATAATCTTAACAGCTACTCCCAACGTGCTTCTAAAAGCCCATCTACTTTTCACATGATTCGAAATTCGATCCTTCAATCACTTAGCAACATGAAAGCAAAAGTAACGATTATTAAAGCTGTAACACAACATTTCACGCAGTCAAAACATTTCGTACACCCTCAGTTTTAAACATTAGTACATTGCTTTATTTTAACTCCCCTTCTAAAACTTTTTGAACTATTAAAAATATATATACATTTATATCCGAAGAAATATTATTGATCACTGTTTCTACGTTTTCCGAAAATAAATGTTCTAAAATTAAATAGTAAAGATGTTGTTGGTACCACTCACGATCAATTCATATTCGGAACCCTTATTCATTTCTAACTGCCCTGGTGGAAAAAGTTTTTGTGAAAACGGATTTTTGAAAAATCAATCTGAACTGAACTGGAGGTAGGTTAGGTAAATTATTCAGCTAAAAAACATCTGTGCGCACAAATGGGTTACGCAAACAAAAAGAAACATCCTACAAATTTCTCTTTTGATCTTAAAATGGTCTTTGACCTTCGTATAGAAAAATTCAAGAGACCTTTAGCATTATTTCCTTACTGCTCTGTTTCCACTTTCAACTGTCTTCGGAATAGTATACGGACAAGCTGTCATTTTTTATTTTGCTGGCTCTTTGAGACACGCAGAAACTAACAATTTTTTTAAGAACTTTATTACCTGTAATACAGCGGTAGTAGAGGCGGACAATTTTTCTACTAACTCAGTTTTGACTATAAAATGTTGATAAAAATACAATATCCAGTTTGAGAATTAATTTACAGTCTGTAAGAGTTGGAAAGAGAAGGAAATTCCACCCAGAAATATTTGTTACTAAAAAATAAAACCGTTGAGGTTAAAAGATGGAACTTTTTTTCTTTTGATACCTACTGTTTCAGACGAGATAAAATCCTGCTTAATACAGTTAAAAACATTTTTTTTAAATCGTTCCGAAAAACCTGTGCATTTGACGGGATTTTTTATTTGTTATCGCTGAACGTCCGGCATACTGCTTAGTTCAGCAACAATTATTATAACAGAATGATTTTTAAATCAGTTATTATCGCGTACAACTGTATTGTGACGAATTATGGAAAATTTGTATAATTTAGTCTCATAGCATTTTACGGTTTTGTAGAGTCGTATAATAAACCCAGTTTTCGTCTTTCCGAGACCATTCGACGCTTTATAGCGAAAAAATTCTAGCCGATCACTATTGTTTTCAGTGACCGTTTTTTTTTCATGTCGACAATCTTTTCAATCTTGAAGTGCGCGAGCTTTTAACGGCAAACACCCTAGAAAAAGAGATCTTTTAGTAAACAGATTAAATTGAAAGAAATACATGGTAATAAATTCCACAAGATTAACGCTTGAGAAGAATTAGCTGAGGGATAAAAGCTTAAATTTCAAACCATTAATTTGATATTTACCTCTTTGTGTAATAAGGTAAACCAAGGTAGTGTTTGTGTTTATTCCTTAGATTTCGAGCCCATTGAGGATCAGAGGGTGGCGGACGCGTCACGTGACTTCTCAACAATGAATTATGTTCATCGTTCCCAGGACCCTTCAACTGCTTCTCGCAAGTGCTCTGGTGTTGTTGGGTGTCCGTGGAAATCTTGCCATTCCCTTCATTTCCTATCGTTCATCCCTCAGATGTACTCACATCACAGTTTTAGCTGCACTCGACTTCACGCGGCCACACTGCTTGGCCCTGGGCTAGGCCTTGTGACTCTTGTTACCGGCCCAGTGTGGTGGGAACACAATAAGACACTCTGTCAGAGCTTTACCTTTCTGAATTCCTGGGTACACTTAACTTGCCTCTTGGTTCTGTTCGTTTTCGCTGTGTTTGTCAAAACGTGGAACATCGCTTTCCCTTATACGGAAAACTCCACGTCAAGAAGAGAGAGCTTCTTCTTCTTATCGTTTCCCTATTAACAGGTTTGCTTTTCAGCATTCCTCCAATTCTAGGCTGGAGCTCATACAATGGCCTCTATTTATTGAAGTCTTCTTTTATGTTCAGCCATGTTCATAACTTTTCTTATTATACCGTCGTCTATCTTGCCTCCTCCCTCATCATTTTAATCATCACTACGTCTCTAACCGTGATCGAGAGCAATTAGACGACGGCGCAGGTTTTACCCGCTGCAGCTCCTTTGGGAAAGACACAGATTAGAAACGATGATCAATGATCTTGAAATGACAACAACTGCTTCGTCATCCAAGTCATCGTCCAAAACAAGCTTTTCCAGGAGATAAAGTAAGATTTCTGGCAGACGATCGAGTATAGTTTCCGCTTATAGGGGTCCTTTGTCAATCAGAAAGGCTTCTCAGAGATCTCGCTCAAATCGAAAGTAATCTAAATGTTCTGCTGGAAATCATTGCTCGTGAAAGGACGCTCAGTGCGGAAGCCGGAAACGTAGGCGAATCAAGTACCGTACGGGAGGCCAACATGTTCGATTACGAGAGGTGACTCGACTTAGGGATCGAAATTTTAAGAAACATTGATTCTAAGCATAACGTATTCAGTGGTAGTTATTCCCTTGACCACTCTCTTCGCATTTGAACATCAAAGTTGCCCGAAATCCCCTTTGACAAACTCTGAAACAAGTTTTAATGAGAGTATGATATATGCACTGATATATGTGACACATTGACAGTGTTCGTTGCTTTTCATTTTTTTTCAGAGAATTTAAAACTCTGCAATCTTAATTTTTTGCTTTAGAATGAAGATTAGTGGTTAATACAAATGCTCAAAAATAACTTTGAAAAAAAAGTGGCTGCAAGAAGTATAGAACTTGACTCTTTGAGTAATATTCTGATTTATAACTACGACTTAACGTCAGAAAAATTATTTTTTCTGCTGAAATATGATCTGGCTCAGTTTCCTTGATGAACAAGTAACAGAGAAAGTAATGGAGGGGACGACAAAAAATTCCAGGGGAGAGGTAAGGGGGAGGGTGTGGCTTATGATCTCAGGAATCATTAGAACTTTGAACTCCATTAGTGACAAATGAAACGTTAAGATTTTTTGACAGTAATGGGAATGAGTGCTGGTTATTCATAAGGAGCATGGAAACTAGAAATAACCCAGAACTTCAATGTTCTAAAGTATGCGAGATGACCACGCGTTGTTTCGTGTGATTGTAGTTAAAGTTGAGCGCCAACTCAATCTTGGCTGCGCGCGCTCTGATCATATTTTGCTTCCAATTTACTGAAACAAACCTGCTCATTCACTAACTTGACTTTTACAAGAAAAATAGCGACAGAAACCGGAAGCAAAATTTGGAAGAGCACGAGTTTTTTTTATTATTAGAACGAGCGTCTGTATCATCTGAATTACATGTACATTCATTAACCAATTGTTCGTCTTTCAAGTGATGTATAGAGCTTGCCCTCGAACGTGCTACTTAGAGGATGAAAGCTAATACAACTCATTGCAGCATAATGTGATAGTACATTTGTTCTATTCCAGCCCCATTCCAGCCGCGGTTAAAGTGTACTCGCACCAGTCCTTCTTTTTACCACTCGGGTTTTTTCACCCGTTAGTATATTACTTCAACCAACCTGAAATAACGTCACAAGAACCTGTCACATGTATGAACTCTATATTTTCACTTCTTTCCCGAGGGCCAGTTCGTTGTAATCCTTTGTGGTATTATAATTCCTTATTACTATTTCCTCTTCTCTTCGAATTTTTATTTTCAAGGTATGACTTTTGTGATAGCACACAACCTCGACGTATGACTTTTGTGACAGCACACAACCTCGTCTCCAGTCTCTCCTCAAGGGTGTGCCTGAAAACCCGTCCCGAGAACAAGACTATGAAAGTTTGGTGAAGCCTTTTTAATTCTTCCCCAAGAAATACAGACAAAATGATGTAACCCAGGATCGTCACACGGTCTCTGTGAAATATTTCAAGACGCTCTGCTGAATTGTTCATATCTATTCTCAGACACACTCACCTTGTTATAGATATTAAAAATGCGAAGACGGATATTTTCTGTTCACTCTATGACTATATTGCTGTGGATCTGTCGTCCATTCAGTGGCATAACGTTACGAAAGTTATTGCACATGCGCCCAACATTTGGACCTTGCGCATGCGCCTTGCTGCTCTTCAAATTTCGGAATGCCATGATCTATTTTCAAGATGAAAAAAAATCGCTCTCTAAAATTCTTTAGGCTCAAATTCTTCGCGGGGCTTAAACCTTTCTATTGGTTCTTTCAAAATCTTGACCGGCCCTTAAAGTTAAGAGGACCGAGGAAGGGATTGAAAATTTTTGGGAAATGGGAAAGAAAACCAGGAAAAAAACCTGAATTTAAAGCAAGTCTACATAGCTTCGTTGACTTCGAATCGCATGGGACTTTTAACAAACAAAGCCATTCTCCCTTCTTTCTTCCTCAAAAAGTCTAGGGTGTGGTGTCGGGTGGGTTAAAACATTTTTGTTTGGATAATTACTTACTTCCTTCTCTGTTATTTGTGGATGATTGTTCATCACAAACCACGTGACCGATTCATAACACCCGGGAGTCGTAAGAGATCCTTTGTATTTGTAAAACCTGTCAGCAACATCCGCGGACGTGAGTAATGGTGCCAAGTCCTCGATATGAATACCCTCGCTCTGTGTTACCACGTAATTGCTGTCTGTTTATGAAAAACCAAGCGCGATATGGTCAGTATGATGATAGACTTCTAGAAATCTGTTCTAATCTCGATATGATTCAACGTCATTTGGCGCGATCGCGAAGAGACTGTGAGTTGAGGATTGTCTCGGTCTTGGCCCAGTCTCTTCTCATGTTTACCACAGTTACTCATTCGTTGCAGTCTATTGCGAACAAATACTGAGATGCTAAGCAATATGAAGAACTGAATCTCCCTTCCGAAAACATCACAGAACACGCCTCTATGGTTAAACGTTGCGTGACCGTCACGCAAGCTTATTGAACATCTGTTAGGGCTCTCAGATCTTTTTTCAAATAATAAAGGGGGTAAGTTTCTATAGAAACTGTGGTGCTGCGTTGCTGGGGGTAACAAGGTGATTTGGTTATATCAACTAAGCCGAAATTGTACAATTTTAACTTAGTTGATATAACCAAACTACCTTTTTTCAAATAGTTTGATTTGCACTTAAAGCTCACCATATAAGGTTTAACAGAAATAAGCCACAGCTGTGTAAACTACTTACTCTCATCAACAACGTTGTTAAGAAGAAGCGCAATTTTTTCCAGAGCATTATTTGTTGGTGCGGTATTAATGTTTGCCATTGGCAGCTGCAACATAAGATGGACCTCGTGAGATTTCCGTGTACCCAGGGGAGCTAATTAGTGATTTGATAAGGCCTAAACGCTTCCTTTATTACTGTTTTTATTCTCAGCTGTCTTCTTTGTTAGTGTAATCATATTTTTGAACATCCTTCCTGCTGCAGTAAACTAAGACCATATTCATACGTTAGGTGGTAAATTACAATCAGAAGGGTTTAAAATCTTCCGACTTCAAATTCACTTAAAGGGTAAATAATCCATACTTAATTAAATTGTATATTTGTGCAAAAATGCTCCACTATTTTTTGATAAGTGTGTACTCATATTTTTGTCCTGACTAATGAAGTTAACAGTAAAATACCAAAGGAACGACTTGATCTCCAGAGATAAATTGGAGAAGAAATAGTTAAGTGATGTACCTCGTAGAGAACAGACACTACAGCCAGACCATCCTCTCCCTGAGCTGCTAACTCGTACGTCGCATAATTCGTGTTGTCCCAAAATACCATGTGTAGCTGAGATATAACAGAAATTAACAAATGGTAAACACCACAGCGTACACTATTGAGTTATGGATGCACGCGGGAGGTTGCTAAGCACGAAAGAAGCGTAAGAGTCGCTCGAGGCGATAGCCGAGAGCGACTCTAGCTTCTTGAGTGCTTAGCAAACCTCCCAAGTGCATCCATAACTCAATGGTGTACGCTATGGTGTTTAACATTTGTTTTAGAACATAACATTGATACATTGTAGCTACAGAGTTCCGTTTTATTTAACAAATCTTACGCGACCAGAAAAAACAAGCGCGCGCGGAAAAATAGTCTTTGCATTTGCTCACGTCAGCAAAGTACACCCATGGGCAAATGGGGGACGCTAAATTGACCAATCAGAGCGCGCGCTTTACTTTGGTTATGTTATAATTCCAAATAAGCACCGAGTTGCTGCAGGAGAATAGTGGACAGTAGGATACTCAAGATTGTTAAAAAAAGGCAACGGACTTTTTCTGAAGGTGTTCAATGTACTCCAGTCCAAACATCCTAAACACGTTTGCAAAGTCTACGAGCTTTCTTCTCTACACTAAAGGATGAAATGGAAGGGAAAATTACTGTTTGGCAGACAAGCCACAAGAAGTCGGATTTTACCTCAATCGGGTACGTGTTCCCATCAATTGTGTGTTCAGAACCAACTGTATCATTGCAGCCAAAGTGAAAATGAAATTGCTTCATAAAGTAACTTTCCTGAAGTAGACCGCCTGCTAACTTAACCGTCAACTCTTCTCCAACGAAAAAGGTGGGCGCATATCCATTGTTCCTAATCTCACCGGTGATTGGTTTATTGCCAGCCACTGTTAGCCTCAGGTTTGGTGGATTTGTAGGGTCCTTCTGCATCACTTGGTCCGTGACTACGTCGATTGGGGACTGTTTGCGTCCATTGCAAGACCAGTTACCGTTTAAAGTTTCCCATTCATCCGGGCCTTGACAGAAAAAAAAAACCGATAATTTTTAGCACAAGGAAGTTGAGATGCTTTGTTAAAAACCCAAGCATCTTCCAGATAGCAAAATTTCATTGGTTTTGTTAATTATGAGATGCGTAAAATACCATGATACTATTTTTTTCCTGTACCTTTAGCCCCGGCTATTCCTCGATCATAAGTCCAAGGTGTGCCTCCATGCTCAGCTGTTGTTAATAAAAAAAACATGTCAAGCTATGTAGCTTCCTCATTCGAACAGAAACGAGGCGATTAAAGGATCCCCCGAGAACCATGCGGGCTGTGATTGTCTTACACTGAATACGGTGATTGAAGAGGTAATGTGTTGACACTCGTATGGGAAGGGTTAAGTTGAGATAGCACCCGATCGATTGTCGTGGCTAACGCGCGCTGGACGAAGCAAAATTTCCTTTCGATCTTTCCAAGGCATTAAACCTCCAATAATAAGGTAGCTCCATCCCAGAGGCTATGGATGCGTTTACCCAACAGCATTTTCATTTAAATCACTACACGGCGATATGTCTTACCTGAAAAAGCGATGTGTACTTTCAGGAAAAGTGCAGTACCTGCCATAAAAAAATGGTTAGTTCTTTTACGAATTCATTACCAATGGAAACCATGTTATCCTCGCTTTTCATAAACTATTACACGAAAAGTCGTCAATGTCAAAATCAACTTTTCAACCTTTATTTATTTTTTTTTGTATTAAAACTATGGTGATAATTTCAGGAGTTACTGCCATACCACACCGCAATAAATGCAAAATATGTGGCTCTGAACAAAATATTTGTAAAAGTAGCATTTAATGATGAAACGAAGAAAAGGTAGAGGTGGCAGTAAAGTCATTTGATATCTTAATAGCACTCAGTTAAACCGTTTGGCAGACAGAATATATTTCAACCTGATTCAGCTGAAAAAGAAAAAATAGAATTAACTCGAAAAAAAATAGAAATATTGATTAAGAAAGAATTACGGTTAAATGATGTTTAGACTTCGAGAAAATGAAGCTGACAGTTTTTTTTAAGGAGAAATTGTCTGTGAGTATTCTCATCCCTCCAAAAATGATTGTTGAAAGGGTTACCAGAAACAGTTTTGTTACATTTGCGCTAAACACCAATTTGTAAAAGTGCACTGAAGTAAACACGAGTGTTAAACGAACAAACAATATGTAAAAAACAATCATGTTACCTGCAAACAAAATAATGGGGAATAACTTGCTTTGTTTGGAGTGCATCAGGCTTTGCTGTCTTGTTCTAGATACGCAAATGATTAACTGAACGGCTTGGCTGAAAAAGTTTCAAAACCTGAAATCTGAGTTAGACTCCAACTAGGATTTTTACGTCTCTGTTTTTTTATTGACTTCCTGAGGATCATTAATGATTGAGTACACGAGGCTAACCAGGTGTTATACGCTGTGCCCTTGCTTGTCAAAAAGCAGATGACATATTAGAACATCTTTTATTTGAAGGTGAAACATTTTGGCTTCCAATTTGTAGTAAACCTGAGCCGGGAATTTGTCGCCCGACAACTTTCTCATAAAAAAGTAAGTTGTTGTTCATTTTCTATTTTTATTATGTTTCAGGAACCAGGTTATTGACATGTGACCAGCACCTGTCAATCGGCTGTCAAATTTGATCGTGGATCACAAATCTTTCATTTTCATCGATATAATATTCTTATAGTAAATGACTGCTTCGTCATTGAACACCACCTTGTGCTCTCACGTTCTGATTTATGCAAAGTATTTTCTTCCGTCTAGACTACAGCTTCATGATATGCAGTCTTCTGATTGGCTGCTTTTGATTTCCTGAACTTATAGCAGTCTATGAATAATAGGACTAAAATACATTTAGCTAGAGTGGTTGATGAAAAAAAGTTTGAAGCTTTCGACTAATAGCCTCGGTTTTTATCTAAGCCCTTCTCCCTTCGCAAATTGACTTTTTATTTGATCCTTCGTACTGAACTTATTGCCAAAATAAAAGAACAAGCAGTTGGATCCATACCAACAACGAAGAGATAGTTTCTGTCACGAAAAAAAAACAACAACCGAAAAAAGAAAATCAACTGATATTTGGTAAAAATTTCAGTTTCCAGCGGCTAAAATGAAAATCATCCAGTAGCTGACCACTAACAGTATGTTTAAATAGATCCTCCTTGCGGAAACCCGTGGGCCTCTTCTCATCACTCGGTTAACAGGTGAGTTCGTTCATAAAATACGGTCATAACCTTCTCGTTAACTTCTTTTCTTTTTCACGTTTTCCATGGCTACCCACCACTGACCTCTTTAGCTAATCAAGTAACAGCGGACTTAATATTCCTCACACTCAGGAGGAGCTGATCGACTTGAGTATGAGTGAATTAGAAGTATTTTGGCAAGACGGTTTATAGCGCAAATTTTATGGCTCAGAAAAAAACTTTTGATATATTTAAATCAAAACGAGAAAAAAATCTAGAGAGTCCAAGAGCAGACACAGTCGTTAACGGTTGTTAGAAAGATGAGGCAGCAGCCGTGACATTGATCGTTAAAACCTTCTCAGGTTGATTTAAAACTTGGGTGGCAGTAGTTCATTTTCGAGTTTACCTTTTGCCACGATCATGCATAATCAAATAACTGATTAGTTTTACGAACAAAAAGACACTAGAAAATGAAAATAAAGTGATGTAAATCGTCGCAGGTGAGCAGTGAAATTCGCCTAAAGTACTTTGACGCAGCTGTTAGTTCTGTAAACTAACTGGAAACCTGGATGGAAACCTTGCCTTTGATCTCCGTTCAGAGGAAAAAAGACCGTTTTCGTGAAAAGTTGAAGTCACGTCTCAGCAACCTTGCCTGTTGTTCTTTTGTCCTTCTTCTCCTGTGGCAGATTACAGGGGCGGTTCTTTACTTCCTGCGTGCCTACGACTGCTGTTTAAGGGAACGACACACAACATTCAGCTGCGTAAATAGTACAAAAGTTCCCCACTCTGAAGAACTTGAACTGACATGGCTACTTTCTCAAGATATAAGTATCGCATTGGTAGCATTTTTCCTAAGAAAGGTGCCTGGATTTCTGGGATTTCGTGCAATCTTGAAGAAAGCCGTGCGAATGCCAGCATTTTGGAGTCTGGTGGCACTGCACGCAATGCAGATCGTGGGACTTACAATGATTGTGTATTTTAACAAAGTTATCCATGTGAAAATATGTCTCATAGCTGCGTTTTGCTTACACGGATTAACGCTCATTGCAATCCTATTCGTGCTAAATTTTACGCCATTAAATCGTATTAGGAGATGGTGTGACTTCTTTGTTTTTATACTTTTTAAATTCACGTTAGCGGTTTTTTTCTTGCAAACTTTTACAATCTTTGTAGTCGGATCTGTTCAGTTTGCTTTTAAAGTCACTGGTTTAGACGAGGTGGGACGATCAGCTAATTTCGTGACAATTTTTCGAAAACTTCGAGAATTTCCACAAGTTATTTTCTACTACAGGACAACAACTTTCTTCTGGCACAAGCTGTTTTTTGATAATAGGAATATACTCAGCCATTTTCAGATTCTGAGGTCAAGAAATGATCTTTTGAATGGAATGGGGTGAATTAGAGTGTTTTTCGATCCAGCGCCGTAAAATCGAAACAAAAGTACATTCACAAAGTCTAGTTAGAACAACGGTAAAACCAAAAGAAAAGTACATTCACAAAGTCCAGTTAGAACAACGGAGAGGGGCCTGGGATGACAGATTCCAATTAAGCAGTGAAATTCGCAGTTGAAGTGCTTGACTCCTCGTTATAATTTTAACATACCCATTTAAAATAGAATGAAATAGTTATTGAAAATTACAAGGAAATCCTCCAGGACTTATTTTTTTTTATTTTTGGAAAATTAAAACAGCAGTAGATATGATCAAAACAGGAAAGAAAACAGTAAAAATTTTCATGATACAACCTTCAATATAGATTTTAAAGATGTAGTCCTGCAAAGCCTTTGCTAACTGCCTTGTAATGGAAGTCGCCTTATATCTGGTCACTTTTATCGGAAATAAATGTTCTGAACTAATTATTAGAAGAGTAGTTTTTGTTATGCAATTATCTCGAGATAGGGCAGTTCGTCCTCGAAGCACTCTTGGCTTTCAGCGTTTCCCTGGTCAGCCACAATGATGTTTCCAGGTTCCTCGTAATCGGCAATCAAAGCTTGATAAGCACCACTATTATCTTCCTGGTTGTTTTGTTCAGCTGAATGTCTTTTTAATGCTCTGTAGTCTTGTATCACTTCTTCATCCCGTCTGCTTTTATTCAGCGGGTATTTACCTTTAAGTTCATCGCTGCTCTTTCGTCTTATTGCTAAACGCCTGGATATTGGCACTTCTCCCGGAATTTTGCACAGGGAAGCGTATTGAAGGTTACTGTTTTCATTATTTGCTGACTGTTGCAACAAGCGATATTTCGGATCTTCGTGATGAGCCGAATCCTGAAAATGTACCCGTAACTGGTTCACTCCGCTGGGATTGTTTGCCCTACCATCCTGTTTGTGAAGGGATCTTGTCTGCGCGTCATAATAGATGGGCTGTGCAGTTATGTCGCTGTTTTGTTTGCGTGTATTCATTTTCAAGCGCCAAAGAAGGAAGCCAATGACGCAAGCTAAGACTGCAATCATGCAAGCCAACGGAATTATCGCGATTGCCCAATGGATGAATCCGGAAGGAGGTTGAACTAAATAAAAAAACAAACAAACAAATAAATAAAATAAAATAAATGAATAATTAAAAAAGAAGGGGACAGAGAAAACTTATTCGAGAACATAAGTTGGAGCACTTATTCAGTTGTGGGGCGAGAAATCATTAAATTCAGTAAGTAGAACAAGCACCTCGTTTTCGTTTTTGGTGGCGTGACTCAAGCTTCGCTGTTGGCAGTTAATCGAATGAATATTTAACAATTATTGCACGAGCGTGCGTTGGATATGAGATGATAGATAGCCAACGAGGCGCCGAGTTGGCTATAATCATCTCATATCCAACAAGCGCGAGTGGAATAATTGTTTTCTTAAAAACGTTAAATCAAATTATTAAATTTATTAAATTTTTTAGCTCCCTTTTAATTTTAAGCTGACGCGTACGCTTACCATATTTGTAGATTATGGTATATTGGCTCATATACCATATGGCAAAGCCAATAAAAAGTCTTGAATTGCCTTATCCAATGATCCAGTTTTTAAGAAGGTGTAATAACTCACCTCGAGTCTGAAATTTTAGCGAATATTTCCCTCGTAACAACTGTACGCAGTCAGTGACAAAACTGGTGGTCACTGTGTTCAAGTCGGTCGCTACTCGATCGGTTTCAGTTCGCATAAAAAAAAATTTGTAAGTAAAAACATGATTTCACATATCTGTGAAATGTATCCCTTACCTTTTTTAACCATGAATATTTTCTCAGTTTTGTTGGCTCGCGTGTACTTTTCAGTTCGCACTGTCGGCAATGTTGGTTTTCTGCTCGCGCCAGGTGGAGCTTCTCTGGACACTTCAGGAATATTGCAGATTAAACCACTTCTTGAACACTCTATGAAACAAGTTCCAGGATCTATTATATACGCGGGCGAGTAGCAAAAAATATAACGGGTTTGGCGTTGTGTAATTCCCCTCATGGCAACGCCCATCTTGTTTTCTTCCGTAACTGCTCTTAACTTACGTAACTGCTCGCATTCCTTTTCCCAGGCTATGTCGGTCTGTATTATAAATTTGCTTTAGCTTCTCTAAATAATATTTGGAACAAAATAGGTTTGATTTGAATGCTCTCACGATTTTTTGAAATTTCACTTGCGCGATGTTATGCACAAAGTTGATTAGTTGACGTCCAGAATTAAGTCCAATATAAACTTGAATTCATATTAGGCGGAGTTCATCAAGCGATATGAGTAATTCGGTAAAGTAGCGAGTTACTGTTAATACCGAAGATTCCAAACTTCACTAACCCCATTTTTGCACACATCCCCACCCCTAACAGGATTTCCTTTTAGATAGAGGATGGGATTGGCGTGAGTGTGATGGCATCCTTGGGAGCGACAAGTAACAGACTTAGAAATAAACAAATAGACAATCGGAAAAGAAAAAAACAACAACAAACAGTCCGTCAGACAGACGGACAGAGAGACAGACAGACAGACAGAGAGGCAGTCAAGTATGACGCCAACCGGATACAAAATAGAACATGTAAGTAGTTGCCAAACGATATTTTTCCGAGCAACACACTCACCAGAGGGTATCTCGCAGATGTACCCGGCGAAAATGTCCCCTCTTATGTCATTAAAAAGACCCCTAGTTCCCGGCGGGTAGTTTTTCGCCATCACCACGTACGGAGCGCCATCTCGAGGTTGCCAAGGCTGCCAGTGTTTGATGGTCAGTGGCTTTCCACTCACCCAGGTCCAGTTCCCCACCATTGTTGTGTTCATGCGCAAACCGATATGCCAGTCATCGTTGAACCTGTTTGTCAGGTTTTGGATGTAGTCTCTCACAACCTGCCATTCATATGGTGTTTCCATGGAGACAAGATCTCCTCCATCAGATTGACACGTCTGTCTGGCCGCTGTCCATGTGAGTCCGTCTTCGTGGAATGTGTAACATGAGCAGTCTATAGCATGAACTGTATAAGCAGATCACAAAATAACTGAATGACTTGTTAATTCCAATGATTTCTAGCAGGTTCGGAAACAAATAATCAGTTATTCCCTTTAACTGCGATAACGGACGTTGGCTCCGGTTATAGAATTGAGACTTACTGCAGTTGTACGGACTGGTATGAGAGCCGTTACAGCGTTGTCGTTGGGTGGAGAAAATGTATTGTCAAAATGTTCTTATTCATCGAAGAAATATATTGCCTTTCATTCATGGGTAGCTGTTATCAAAAGGACCTACTTGGCTCTTGTAAAACTAGATCTTTGTATTTACCTTAGAATGTAAACGTGGCATTAATTAGTCATATTGTAAATCTGAACCGTCGAAACATCGGGAAAACTTTTTATTTCCCTTTGCGGTTGTTTAGTGCACAAGCGCGGACATAAAAGTGCAATCCAGTGGAAACTATTCCTAGGCGTTTCGTAGTTTTAAAGGTCGGGGTTTGGGAAAATTGTACTTACGTATTTTTGACTGAGGATTGTAGAATCCGGTGTCTAGATTATTGTGAGTAACACTCTAGGTAGACAATGACATGTGCGAGTGCGTGACTCAAACAGAAAAAAATAATCGTTTACCTTTGATCACAAATGGAAGAAGAATAGCGACTCCAAGCAAAAGCGTTATTTCCATGATGGCAGTCCTGTGATCTCACTCCTTTTTCGTTTAAGTTGGTACTAATCTTATTTATTTAATGGGATCGATATTACCTGTGCCCACGTTTTCGGTTCGACTCCACATTTCATATCCGGTGTGTTACAGGGCGTTATCTGGAGGTCAGCATTTTTACACGTATACGGCAATCATCGACACAGTAGAATGAAACTATCGAGTATCGCTCAGTCACGCTAAGTTTTAGTTTCTGCCAACAGTTCTTTCCTTATTTAGCAATCCGTGAGAGTTAACTGTTGTGAACAGGCGTATTATCACATGGATATCTGTCAACGCCATTGTCATCGGCTTCAAAAAGATTTGTTTTACAGATATCACCACAAGAAGGATTTAAATAAGTTTATTTTGCACCAAATTCCGTCGCCTAAAACAGTTCGACCACAACTTGAAAACTAGTGGGAAGGTCTGTCGGCACATAATATTTATTTCAAGGAAGAGGTTTCCTTTTTTTTTTTTTGTTCTTTTTTTGTTAAAACAAAAATAGACAAGAAACTATTGGTGACCTTAACAAAAAGAGTAGAGGCTTCGTGGATAAGTGGATTATGGTGTTTTGATACAAAACAGTATAAGTACTTTACAGATTATTCCAGTAGAGTCAGGATATACTACTTCACGTGAACAAGCTATTTTGATTACTTGAAGTGCTTTTATCATCATTGTTAAAACTATTTAATGACTTTATTACATGGTGTTATCGTCATTAGGGCTGGGATATTTGTTGTCTTTTACCACAGATATTTTTTGAAGTGTACTTAATACTAAAATCATGTTTGTTCCTAATAAACTGATCTGAATATTTTACCACTCTGTTTTTATTTCGTAGTTTATAGTTAAAGGAAAAAATCCAAAATAATAAGAATATTTACCACAGATATTTTTGAAGTGTACTTAATACTAAAATTATGTTTGTTCCTAATAAGCTGATCTAAATATTTTACCACTCTGTTTTTATTTCGTAGTGTATAGTGAAAGGAAAAAATCCAAAATAATAAGAATATTTACAAACAGACTACAACAGAGAACGATTCAGTTACATTTGTTTCATCACGAGCGCGGAACAATGGGAATTATCTCTGTTCCTCACGAAGAATCGAACCTCAGACCTTTCCGAATAGACTGAGATGTCCTACCAGTACGCCAAATAGAACTTATGCTTGTGATAAATCAATTCATATCTTTCTTTTTTTCCACAATCGAGCTAAAACTTTATCACCTCTATTGTTCTATTGACCGCGATCATGGCAGCATGTGCGCGGCGAATTCTTGCTCTATATTTGTTTTCGTTTTTTTACGCCGGTATCTTGTTTGATTAATCATACTTTATTGTAACACCATTAATATCTCCACTCCCTGCTAAGAAAATAGAGATCAGTGATCCTTCTAGGAAGAAATCTGTTTAATGCAGATAGTACGCAAACAACGCTTAAGTGTTGTGATCTTGTAACAAAAACATCAACATCTATCTACAAAGATAAAAAGCTTTCTATCGAATATAAAATAATGGAAGGTTGTAATAAGCCATCTGAGAGTATAATAGCAACAGCACTCAGCTTCTTGGTGTGGCAACTGAGTACCTCACACGCACATTTATAGCCACATTACCTCAAAGGATTTATTAATGAAACGATAGCACTTTTACTTTTAGTCTAGATCGGCTTTGTCCATTGTCTGGCTTTAATCTCTCCGAGGAGCTTGGTCTGCCTCGGATCGTCTCATAAAGATATCTTTGAGGAGTCAACTTCTGGTAAGAGTAAAACAAGGCTTGTTACATTTTGGAACCTAAATGTTTTGAAAGGGAAAATGAATGTAAAGATAGGATGGGTTACTTAGATCCCAATACAAACCTGTTTATTGTTCCCACCATTTTAGTGCAGCTTTGCGTTCCGCAGATTTAACCCCAGTTACTGCAAAAGGATAAAATAAAAAGATTTTCAGTCTCTGAGTTGATTGGTAAACCGTGCACTCGTAAAAGGTTCAGTTTTTTTTTTACAATATGGACCACATTTTATCCGCACCACAGGGAAGATGGCAAACCAGCAGAAAAAAAGGTCGGTCTGTGTGGGGCAAAAAAATCTCCCTTGGACTTGAGTATAGCATAGCTTAAGGCTATCTCTCTATACATGTTGCTGAGATGTTTTTAATAACTTCGGGAGGATTTTATCGATACAATCACTCTCTCTAGAGATGAAAGCAGGGTTAGTTATTGTTAAGGTTGGACCTGTAGCCCCGCACGTAAGACGACAGTCAATAAGTACATATTACGATTTTAAAGCAACGTTGGACTAACCAGCGTAGACAGAATTTCTCCATCGCCCTCCACAAGACTCAAACAGATTGTCAGTGTATTCCACAGGATCATCGGGTTTTCTGCACTTAATGTTGCAATCTTTGTCATCAGCCCGGCCATACTTGTCATAAGTATTTCCACAGAAACAAAGATCACCGTTTTGCAGACCAGCATAAAGGAAACCTCTGTTAGCACATTGGTCAACACAGTCTTGTTTGGAGGAAAAATGCTGAATTTCATATCCGAGTGCTCGAGGCTGCACCAGGCGGAAGTTGTCATCCAGCGCTTTGTCGTCACTGTAACAGCCAATCATGTCTGGAGAGATGAAAAAGTTGAATTTTAACGTATAATGGAATATTGTAACCGTTCATACCGTGTGGTATCAGAGATTTTTCCTGTTTATAAGTTGAATTGACTTAGAGTACGCTTTATGCAACAGAGAGAGTTGACGAAGCTTCCTGGTTTAGTCCGTGCGCAAGCGCAGAACAGAGAAACTTGTCCGGCTCAGTTTGAAACAGCGGCCAATAAAATAATATCGTAAGTTTAAACGGAGTTTTAAAATAATGTCAGCGTTAAAGACACGCGGGCATATAAAGATTTACTAGGATCTAAGGGAAAATGTCAAAAGCAAAATATCACATCTTTATCAATTGTAAGACTTACCTGAAAGTTAAATCTAAGTGGGGTCATAAACTAAAACTATAGTAATCCTTACACAAACTGAAAAACGAGATTTGGATGTTTTTTGAAAAGAAGTAAGACGCAGCGAAATTAAATAGGTTACCTGGGTTTGTGTCCACAACTTCTGTGTAGGAATACGACAAGCCTGGTGGTTTCAAAAAGAAAACATATATGACACCTGCCATGTGGCTATAAAACATTTGACTCATTAAGTGGATCTGATCGAGTGTTCTCTTCTGAAATTACACGGTCATGTTCGCTTCAATGCATCAGAAGATCAACGCATATATAACTCGAACATCAGCACTTTCTCAGGATTCTACTTTTTTTCAGGCGTTTGTCTGGCAAATCAATTCATGCTAATTTCGCAATCATGTTTGTATTTTTAACAGGGTAAATATCAGGTACTACTTGTTCAAATCTTTCTCTCCAACCTGATTACTAACATGACTTTTCTGGAATTAATTTTGTTAAAAAAAATCCCTTTTGAGTATTCTTTTACTCCTCGTTAAACCAAGCACAGTTTTGTAGGCTGTTGAATGGATTAGAGAACGTCGAATAGTTAACTAGGGATCTGAGAACACTTACCAATTAAAGTGAAGATTCCAAGGATGAAGGCTGAAAAGCATAAAAAACAGTGAAAATTCTGGAATGTGTGGAAATCACAAAATCAACTTCTCCAAAGACACATACCTAAAGTTTTTCGCAAAAACATTTTGATTACTTAAGCTTTCCCTACGAGAAATCAAACTTTCCCGTTGGGAAGATTTCCCGTCTGTGTCCACTCGATACACTATTAATGATCACAGGTGAATGACGTGATTTCCACCAATTAGCGCTAAGCTAGATTCAATCGTGTTTAACTTAGAGGGTTTCCTTATGAGCTAACTTCATAACAGATAGAGTAAGGGAACGTGGAACAAACGCGCGAATTTTGACTGACCGCGCGCAAAGGATTTTACTTGGTAACTCACACTCGACAGTTATTGTCTAGAGTTACGAGCCGTGAAAATTGCCGTGAAACTTTTGGAGTATCCTCTTAAAAAAGAAAAACATAACTTTCAGGGGTCACTTGTTCGAAACATGTGTGGTATTTTTTGTGGAGCGGACACAATTAATGGGATAAAAACCAAAAAGGAAAGTAAAAAATAAGACTTTTTGTGAAAAAACGGTCACGGCTCTGTTAACCTCGCGGGCTAGTTTTAACGCAACTCACATAAAGAAATATTTGTCTTAAAGTCATTATTCAAATTTAGATTTTCGCTAATGGAAAACAGTTGACTGATGTTTTAAAACGAGTAACGGGTATATGTATAAGTACCTGCATGTGTTGACACTGAAAGATCAAATAATATTTGTTATGACATTGTAGAACGTTTGTAGAACAGTGCAGTTGTCATTCGGCTTTATAATGACGAAGCTTTCTTTCCGGCTAAAAGAGTGATAACCACATATCTATGATTTGTGAGTCACATCGCTCACTTTGCTTTTAATTTTAGGGGCGTTGGTACACTTCGGGCATAACAACTTGCGACGGGTCCGTCCTAGTCATAGGGGCTAAGTGAGCTGGTGTTTTCACTTCACAAGGCGTTTTTTTTTTTTGAATAAAAGTAAGAACTATCGAATATTGCATATTAGGCTCCTCTATCTGATTTCTTTCCATCAGTTCCTCTTCAAATAACAAACATCCCAGAAGCATCTCATGTGGATTCGATTACAGCTTCCAGATAGCCTTAGGTTTTATTTGTTACTTTCCAAAAGCCATCGCGGATTAAATTTGAGTTACTCGCGACCCAACTAAAGACCCAGACTAGAATATTACGATAATCACTTCGCTTAAAGTCGTTTTATTCTTTTGCAAAAACCGATGAGCAGTGGTGAGAAAACATTTTGATTTCAGACTACTTTCACTTACTTTTTGTCTGAGAAAAAATGTAATAGGAGGATTTTATGAACAAAACACAAAACTAATACAGCTAAATAAGAAAATGACAATGTAAATTTCTCCAATATGGGTTTGTAGTTGGAAAAGGCTAGCTATTGTTGTGTGGTTTCGTTGTGGTAAGACTTATCTGTGGGGTAGTTAAAGGGGGGATAATACCCATGATGCATTTGAAAATCACTTAACAAGAACCAGGCCACCTCATTTGGTTTCGCGCATGTCAACCAACGTACAAATATCGATTTCCACTTGTTCCTTGCTGGACCGCTCAAGTATCGACCAATTGGAAGACCGTCGTTCCCGCTAAAATGAGCATTTAAACAGTCCCGTATGTTCGCAAGGCAGGGGTTTCCACCAATGTAAATGACTCTAGAGTCTTGGGTGATCTCGTAGACGCCTGGTAGGCGAGTAGATTCGTATTTGTCGTTGATGTCAAAACTTCGTAAAGCCGAGGTGAGAGGACGACCGTTCAAGCGTTCACGGTAGTATTTCATATTGTTTAAGTCTTCTTCTGTAGCCTGGTAGTCGTACGCGTCAACATACGCCATTTCCGGATCAAATTGCCTTTAAAAATTTTTAAGGAAACAGTGAACTTCAGTCGATAATAAAAGTACGAGGAAAGCAGTTAGTAAAGGATAATAACAGTTAGTTAGAATGTGAGCCGGTTAACGTGAGAAGTTCGTAACAAAAATGGTAGAGCTTGTTGCAGATAAAATTATGAAAAAATAGTCAGTAGTCACTTGAATAAAATGACCTCGAACAGTCTTCACAGGATACTCAGTCAGCCATAAACTTAAACAGACAAAATCAATAAAATTCATTCTTATAAAATACGCCCTCGCTTTCACTTCTTTCTTTGCATCTTTTCTCACAAAGCCACAATATTAAAACCTTACTGCATGAAGTGCCACATCGAACTTGCTCTATCGATTTTACACTCATAAACCTGTAGAATTGCGCATAAATTCTTGCGAACACTGAAAATGCCAAAACTTACTTCCTCAGTAGTCTTCTTTGATAACGCTCAGGTTCATTCTTGTAATTCTTCAACTCCTCGTTCTTCCCCCTGTCATTTGTTCCGTTGAGAATGCTAATTGACGGTTGCAATTTTTCGTGGCACGTGATTTAAAATCCCAGACGTGTGCACGCGCGCTGCTCTTGTAATTCATTAGAGAGAATTAGCAAGAGGAGGGGAACGTCAGTTGACAATAGCGCGCGCAGCAAAAATACCGGTAAGAAACTGGGTCGAGAACGTCGCCCCGTTGTGTTTCAGAAGTGAATTAGCAGTCGCTGCAACGAGACGCTATGGCAATATCTGTTTTTCAATAGCCTAGACTCGGCTTTTCAAAGATCGCCAACACAAATTTTCGCTTTCACAAACAGCTTTAAGGACAACGAAACTGTCCTCTATGAGAGTGATGCAACAAGCGCAAACAGAAGATAATTATAATTACGGAAAGTTAGATGGGCGATTAAACTCTATAATTGATCCATTCCAGGTAAGACTCGTGTCTGTTGATTCCTGTACCAAATTTTAGAGCCCATTAGATATTTTTTTTGCGATTTGTGTTGCTGTCTTTTCGTTTCGTGCTATGCCATTAGATTTTAGCACTGCTCATCTTTCTTCGCAATTTTACAAAGTATAGTTTGGAAATCATCATCGTTTTTCCCCTTGTTTACTGAAAATTTCTATCCATTCATGACGGTACATCTCTTTTGAACATTGAATACTTAGAGGTGCAAAGCATTTTGAACGGGGTTATGGCGAAACCATGTAGAAACCAAGCGACCCAACGACAAAGTTGTTTATGATGATCATGAGTTCTTGTTTAACGCTGAAAGAATTACTGCAAGTCACCCATGAAACGGTTAGGCTTAGGATAAGACTTGGTTTCGGTTTTTTGTTTGTTTTGTGTTGTTTCTTCTTTTTTCGACGAAGTTGTTCAAGACTGAAT